TGAGAGGAAACCAGACGGGCAGCAGGCGAGGAATGCCAGAGTCAAGTGCGTGACGCAGGGTTGGCTAGTTGCTGAGGTGTGGTTTAGAGCGAGTCGCGTCGGGACAGGTATGCGCTGCAGGCATGAGTTTACGGTGCAGGCGCAGGGAGAAGGGAGGAGGGAGAAAGGGGGGCGGAATGTCGAGGGGTTCGTGAGGTTGCCCAACAGTCTTGGGTGAGAAGGAGGGAGGTTATTGTGGTGGTGATGGTAGTGTTTGGGGGGACAAGAGGCAAGGCAGAGGAGAAGTGGATTCGAAGGGTAGGTTTTTTTCTTGCCTGCCTCACTGTGGTTGGGATGGGGACGGACGGACGGGGGACGGGGATGGGGTATCCATAGCTTGCTGTCTAGTGGTAAGTGCTATGGGGCTTTGCCTGGTCGCTCCTTCCCGTCCCTCTCGAAAGCCTCTCCAATCCCAGCCTTCTCCCTTGCCTCTTGCCTCTGATGAGAGTGCCTGTGCTGGGCTGGGGGCCTTCAGGGAAAGGGGAGGGGGGGAGGGGAGGAGGAGAAAGGGGGGAGGTAGGAGCAGTGCGCAAGACAGTGTCAGCTGCTGAATACGAGGTGTTTGATTGGATGCAGCAAGGGAGAACGGCGCAAGCCACGGCAAGAGCCACACATTCACACAGTCATTTACGTTTCGAACACTGTCCTCCCCAGTCACTGATTTGGGTGGGGTCTGCTGACGGGCAGGAGGGGGACCATCGACTGGCTCCTGACTCCTGACTTGCCTGACACCTCACTAGAATAACAGAACAGCCCCCCAACTCAATCACCAGGAGCTTGGGGCAACCTTGCCATTGATATTGCAAAGACATTGGATCTGGATGCATTTGTTTGAACCACATCTAGGTCGACATAATCAACAACAACATACATGCTGCAGCTGCATCAGGAGGTGCTTCGGACAGAACCTCTTCGTGCCTGCCCATCCAGAGATAAGGTACATATGGAAGAGTCTTGAGGTCTCAGCTATGCACGCACACACAAATGACCCCGCTTCACTCTCCATCCACCACCAACGAACTACGTACATACCGGCACCGCATCCGCACCACACGCACATAACACACCACGCACCATGCATTACGCCTATGGTCGCATCGACCTGGCAGGACAATCCGCTGGCGATTTCGCTCCTGCCATTCGGCACTGTTACCGACAGTCGCCACGCAATCGCCTTCGGTACTTCAGAGACTTGACGGTTGGCTCCCCTTTTGGTTCCTCTTTTCAGCGAACTGAGCCTCCGAGGCCCAATGTTCTCAACAAAGCTGCAAGTCCCCCAGACTCGATGCTTGTGCATTGTACTTACCTGGTCTTTGCGCACATAATGTGATGCAACCTCTAGTCATGACCTCGATCATGCATAGCCAACAGATCTAGGCACCTACGCTCCATGACGATACGATACAGGCCGAAAGACTGAGACAACCCGATGTTGCCCAGCCTAGACATGATATCGCCAATGCGATGGAACCCCTGGACCATCACACAAAACTGACACCCGATCCTCAGGGCAAATGAGCGTAGGCGAACCTCCGCCACTGCACTTAGCGAGCAAATAGGAATAGGCACAGAGCCCAGAGCGCGCAGGCTGGCTGATCCAGGGCAAGCTGGAGCCACTCTGGCAAGGACCCATCGAACCGAGTGCCCAGTGCCCAGTGCCCACCGAACGCCGATGTCACTATCCAGCTCAGATCCTTGAGCGATCCGAACGTTCCAACGGCTTGGGACCAAGGGCCAGACCAGCTGCCGGCCGCCGGACTGGCTAGGCTGGGCTTCGACGAAAGAAGGCCTGTATGGAATCTCAAAAGGGTCCCCTGGAAGCGGAATTTGATGCGCTTGACAATTGCTGCCGCAGCGAAAATGGGGCTCAGGTCGGCCACCCTCTTTCGCAGTGGACACTGTTCAAGTTGTGGTTGCACACAATTTGCGACCGCCTTCCTGAAGCGGCATGCCAAACTCAATATGACACGGGCTCACCCGACTATGGCCCTACACCCGCCCGCCGGCCCGACACGCTTCGACCTACGGTTATGGTCGCCGCTTTCACGCCTTCTGGCTCCATCGCTCATGTCTGACCATCCTTAAATCTAGGTAGCGAAAGTATTGTGGAGGTCGTGGCGAAACAGACGACCCTGCTGACGTACTGAACTGAACCCCTATTCCTGCGCGACCCATTTTCGTTCTCAGGCCTCCCGCCGCTTGCCACGCGAAATAGTCCCCGGCGACTCGACACTATTGGCGGCCTGCAGGTGAATCGAAATTGCGACCTGTGGTCCATTAGCTCTTCATCAACTTCACACACGATCATGATCTCCCGTATCAACGATGCAGGGGCACAGTGTACCGGAAATGATCCACCTACCCTGAAGGGCCCGCTGCATTTGAGTGCAGGCTCTCCTTGCCTCCTGAATCGAGAAGTCTTACTCCGCACCACTGAAAAGTATCGACTTCGCCATGCCAATTTTGTTCCCAGCTAAAAGCCAATGCCACCTTGTCTTTCTGACACTCCACGGTTCCATGGTTAAGAACTCAGAACGAGCCCCACGGGCAGAGCTACCCTCTGTTCAGCGTGTCGCCCTTTGAGGTTAATGCTGCGGCACGCAATGTGAAGGCCGCTGCCGTAGCTGGAATTCGGCAAAGAGACCCGAAGTATCCGATATGCCCAGCATTCTGGTGCAATTCGACTAGCCCGTCACTGCCGCTGGATTACACAGAGCTTACCCTGGGTTGCTTGGTTCTCCACAGCCTCTTCCCTCTGTTCCTGCTAAATAGTCGTGGCCCGTGGTCCCTTTTTCTTAGTTTTCTATTCGTTATAAAGCCTGTATTTGATCTGGATAATTACCACTAAATATTGGCGGTCTAAAGGACGATGATCATGAAGCGGTTGGCGCGAGCTATTGCACATATGATTCTCCGGCCACCCGTCACGTCCCTCCACGTACAACTTGAAGATCAAAGACGGGTGCGATTCTGTGGTTTACTTCGGCTGCGTAAGCTTGAGAGACTGGCGTACTGAACCAGGCCCGTGCGGAGAATCAGAGTTCCGCGTGGATGTACACGGCGATTGTGAGTGTTGAAAGATCTGTTTATCAACCAATCCTGAGGCTCCAACAATGAATCGACCCGGTGACAAATGCATACTATAGGCGGCGTTGCCCACAGGAAACTTTGCGCTCTTCCTTGTGATGTGTCAAGCCCCTATTTGGGGAGTATATTTGCTGGCCCAATGCCTACGAATGCTTTAGCTGTTGACTCCCATCATTTGACTCGCTTACCCTGACATGGACGTCGGTCTGATGTTGTTCAGCTACATTGTCCTTCGACAACCATCATGTTCTTCTTGTCAGCGTACTGAAAAAGACAATATACATAAGGCAAGCCGGCCAGTGGCCATGGCGTTTATATGATGAGACTGTCGACGTCGGCGTCGCGGCAACGGTCTGATGGGTTGATCAGGAGCAATGTTGGATTCTGCTTCATTGGTGTCTACCAGTAACAGGAGGGGCAACGTGACAAGGTAGGGGTCGCGGGATCATGATACGGGATGGTCCCAGGAGCTTGGGCATCGATAATGTGTCCTTGTCGGGCGTCAGAGGGCCGACTTCTCGGGGTCTGGCGAAGACGTCAAGGGATGTGGGCTTGCCAGTCCGTATACTAGGCATACAAGCCATTGTCGCGGCACCCTCAAGTGCATCGGGTTCGTTTACATCTTTTGGGAGTTCGCCACCGATGGGCATCGACGCACGCAAGACGCCGGCATCGAGAAAGCCAGAGCTACATCCACGCCTTCGCGAGGAACATGTATCACATCTGTAAAGTTTTGCAACCGGCAGATGGCTACCCACCCGTTGCTAGGTTTCAGATACATAGCGTGCTTGCTGCCATGCACGGTCGAGCTTCTCTGTAGTATTTTCCTGAAGGAGATTCGTCATTGGCAATGTAGTCGGCGGACTCTGTGGTTTGTTCTTTTGCGATGCAGCTCGGCCACTCTTGCACCGCTTGTTAGAGGGCAGGACATTATAGGCAAACTTGTTATTTGCCTCACAGTGTACCTTTGCCGGACGAGGCCACAATCCGGGCCGGCCTGGAATAACATGATGGTCAAGGCGAACGATCGCTCCTCAGTCATGTCGATCTCATGCGTCATGGTAACCATCGAAGACGACACACCAAGTCTCCCTTTCTGGCCCGCGTTTGAACGAGGTATTTTGCTGCCCAAACGTTGTGTCGGGGCGCGCAGTACACCTTCTTGCAGGCACCGGCAAACAAGCAACACATGCCTCGACCACCGTGCTCTCGTTCCGGGTCGCGCCTGGCTGTTGGTCAGACATGGACGTCGTCTCGGTCCAAACGTACATGTCGATACGGTGTGCGAGATGTAGGAGTAAACCCAGCGATCGTGGGCATCCGATGTCTGGGCGGGGAGCGGACCTGATCGGCGGCACAAAAAGGGGCGGCAGACCTGCCACGAAGTCAGACAAGGAGGGGGAGGGCGGTTTGTATATTCCTTATTGCCCCACTTGCCGCTTGTTCTAGATGTAGTTTTCGGCCGTCTGGCTGGTATTCGACGCGATGCTCTGTTGCATGGAGCAGTGATCTCAGCTAGGCTCACCTGGAAGTATCCGTGTGGAAGGAAGTCCCTTGATGTGAGGCTCAAGCTTCAGGACGACGGGGCCGATGTATTCTTTCCTAACTCGCAGCACTGACCGACAAAGCGGGAGTGCAGATTGCAAGACTTCTCGTACTACCTTTGGGACATATGCTGGCTTCTGGATGAAGGGTTACGGCGTTGTCGGAGATGATAATTGGCGGGACGATGACGACGGAACTCCATTGGCAAAGTTCTGCGTTTCGGACAGATTGCTTGGCATGGTTACCGCCCTACCCAAGGCGCAACACTACTTTGGCTGAGGTTCTTATCGTGAACGTCAGTCAATGTGTCACTGAAATTAAAAACTCATTCGTTACGTTTGGCATGATTCTCGCCAGCGTCGTAAATCTTGACCTCCACCTAGACAGTTTTTGTTGCCTTCATCCCATCATTGCTATCATTCCTGGTCCATCCAGCCGTCTTTCCGATAAGGCCTCAGAGATACTGCGTAAATTCATAGTTCGTGAGATGTCCTCCGTCAAAATTGTATGGGTTCGCTCCATTCCGCGGGAACGATGTCGGATCATGCGATCTCCCCTTGACCCACCGGTGCCGCTCGCGGAGGCCGTCGATGCAACCTTACCATTCACAAGATGATTGACAAATTCAGTGACTTCTTTGAGGAAGCAACTCGCTTCGATAATCCTGAAGCTTTGCATGATGGCGCGATTATCGTACTCGTTATCCTGGAGGCCGACCTGCAAGCATGCCCATGAGAACTCTAACGCACGCAGGTTTGGTGCCGGTGCTCGCTCGAGGGGATCATCCACGCCTGACGTCGGAGCCGATCTAGGAGGCATGTACTGCGTCTCCTTCTCGGTCTCCCGGGTACGCTGTCGTGTATTGGCGACAAGAGTCTTGGACATGCGCACAAACGTCTCCTTGAGCTTCTTCGAGTTGTCGGCCTGCTGTCGCGTCTGCGACCCTGTCTTGCTGAAAATGAAGACACAAAAGACCTCGATCTCTGTCAACATCCTTAGGTGGCTGTGCGAGTATTCGCACATGGCATTGTGTACAGCATCCTCATACCGACGTCTGTCAGCGAATCATGCAGTAAGTGAGAAGGCTTGATGAGGCTTGACTTACATGCTTCGAAACGCCCAGGCTTCAGCTTTCAAGTCTCCTCAGAAAATCTTGCCGACCTCGGGAACATGCTCCAATAGTTTCTTCTCCATCCATCATACCGATGAACTGCTCCTAAACAGTCAGACCTTCCGTTGTAACAGGGCGTCGCACGTCTTGATCCCACATGCTCTTTCCGTCAATATTGCAGTAAAGGCGGCCAATGATCTTGTTCGACAGATAAACTTGTGCGTCGGCCGGAAAGCATCCACTTCCTCGTCATCGCCGTCAAAAGAGGCAGACGGCTTTTCGTCAAAGTCAATCTGCTGCCAGTCGGCGTACTGGGTAGGAGGAGCCGGGGCAAAGCTGCAGGCTGTTAGCTCCATGGACCTGACCGAGAAAAGAGACAAGAAGGGAAACAAGAAGCGAAAAGCGGATGCCTACCAGTTGGGGCGGATTCTATTGGTTTTTGGCATGGCCTGCATGCCCACAGGAATGCCTGCTTGGAGAAGTCAACCACAGTGGAGTGCATCTGGGCATAAATGATACAGTCTGCATTCAAAGTGCCCTCCTCTTTTTGGTCTGCTTAGATGAGGTGTTCCGTGGTAATCATGCCGAGCATATCAGACTTCATAAAGTCGACGAAGAAACCAGCCTTGCCGTCCCGCGTGACTTGGCGGTTCAGCTCCGTTGGTGTGATCCGAGAGTAGTCGGCCGAGGCGAAAAAGCGTTTCGGGCATGCCTGTCGATCCCAGATAATGTTGTACTGGTCGCCGTTGAGGTCGCCACCGCTAAGCTGGCTCGGCAGGTCTTGGTCGCCATGTTGGCTGAAGACGATGCAGTTCCTCAAGTCTCGCAATGGATATCCCACTGGCGGCGTCCGCATCCTCACTCATTGAATGTCGCCTGGGTAGAGAGCAGGGGACCGGATGACAGGAATATTTCCATCGTTGAGAGTGCTGTCGATCGGCAGAGAGCCGTTGTAGCACGAGTCGTAGCACACGGAAACTTCGCCTTCGGAAAGAAACCCAGACTCATCCATGATTCCGAATAAAGTCACGCCTTGAGGCATGGGGATCCTCGCCTTGAATTTCAGCAGGCGGAGCTCTTTGAGCACTACGGCCTCCACAGTACACCGCAGGAAGTTATTGCGCCTGTAGTTGATAACATACTTGTCGAGCGTCTTGATGAATGTCGAGAGGTAAGATGCCGAGCCGATGCCTTGGAGCTGCAGAAGGCCCCGGTGTTCCACGCACCAGCCGTGACGGCGTGGCGTCGTTCAAGCTCTCGCTTCTGCTGGCTGAAGAACCACTCGTCTCGGACGCCCATGTCTTCGAGGATTTTGATCATCTGGCGGTTGAGCACCATCCTGAGTGGGCGAGACGCAGCGCCGCAGATGTGATCGGTATCTGGGGAACTTAAGCATGGATTCCTGGCGAATGTTCATCACGCGGCCAGGAGTCTCGAGCCCAACGATAGCATCTCCGTCACGAATCCCCAACGGATCTGCAGACAAGTTGGCAGAGATTCCATGTGGGGCAAGTGAGGCCAGATGGTCTCCAACGTGTCCCTCGAGATTTTCCCGACACCGTCGCTGAAGACACGGGTGCCGGATTGGACCCCGGGTACAAACTTGCAATTAATGCCGTGGTCGACGAGAGACACTGATGAGGTTGTATTTGAGAATGCTTGTCCGATCCTTGCGGCGCACTTGGCCGGAATCCTGATATGCTCAAAGTCGCCAAGAGACTTGATGATGTTGACGTAGGACTGAAGTTGACCCATCTCATCAACAAAGGGTGCTGAAAACCAAGCTGAGTGAGAGCGCACTGGAGAGTGAGAGAATCCGAGAAAAGAGTACACCCGACCAGCAATCTGAATGCCGCTCTGTAACACTTTGCGCAATCGGTTGTAGATATGGTCCTTGGAGACTTTGGCCGAGAAAAAGTTGTCGTCGCCATTTTCGTCACATAATTGGACTAGCATGAAATATTCAGCGTGATCGGGGAACTTGCGCAGAATTCGATTCATCGACTCATACTCGGGATTATGAAGGGTAATTTCTGGTGGGTGTGACGTTGGCTTTGAAGACCCAGGTGTGGTTTTTATTCGATGCGTGCTTGAAAGCAATCATGGCTGTTTCCTTTCGGGTGCCAGCTACCTTCTTGAGGAGGAGCGCCATCAAAGCCACAGGATCCAGGTCACTTGGCTCCGTGCCTGGATATGGATATGGAATGCCCTGGTATAGACTTTTCACTGCCTCGGCAGAAACAGGGTCGTGCGACTGTTGGGCTTTCCTGGGTGTGCTGAACACCTGGCGAATGCAGAAGAGGAGCAAGTCTGCAATGTGCGGGTGCAGGTATTTATTCGCCGCCATTGATTGTATTAGATATAATAGGCGGAAAGAAACGCTTCGCTTCCTTTCGCACTCGGACAGACTGGCTTGGAAACTCAAGTTTGCGGTCTCCAAGTCTTCGAGGTTCTTGGTGGGCTCTCGTGTCAGGGGCAGATCCTCATGCACCATGAGGAAGAGCTGCCGATGTCTCAATCAGCTCACGAGACGAATAAAGTGTTTAGTTTCGCAACAAAGCTGGCACCAGGAAGCTCGCAACGCACCCTTGGTGATGACGCATGGCGGGGATACGCGTGTAGCGCTCTAGAACGCGGTACCGGAATCTGCTCGAGGTTTTCGCTGAGGAAGATGCGGGGGGCTTCGCGAAGGACTGCCGTTAGAGTCGCGGCCTTCGAATCGTGGATCAGATGAGTGGTTGTGTCGTAGGCAAAGTGGAGGATGATGGCGCTGTCGGGGAGGCGAGCGAGTAGCATCTTGTTGGCAAAGCGAACGTGACCAGGAGCATCAAACCAACATTGCTCAACAGAGGTCAGACTCTTGGTCGGATTCACGAGCGAGAGGTGGCCGCATGCCAACTCTAACGCCTCGAAGACCATGTCTTGGTGAATGTCATCCTCGGGGGCTTTGCCGTTGCGTAGACGTACATCCTGGCGCATTTGGAGGCTCTTGATCAGGAAAGGGTCCGGGGCTTCGTTTCGAAGAGAGGCAAGACATGGCAACGCATAAGGGTGAGCCGCGCCATATCTTATCACCCGGCAGTTCTGCGAAAGAACAAAGGGTTTGCTGCCGGGCCGGCGCCGGCAACTTTGCCATGGCGCTGGAGAAACTTGTGGCCATCAGACTTGTCGAGGAAAGCATTAAAGCCGGTTTTCTGGGCCGGTTCTTGGTGCACTGCCAATCGAGGGTGCCAAGGGCGTTCATGTATGGCGCAAGCTATGTCTGCAAGCTACGGTCGCTGAGATCCACGGGCACGTTTGCTAAGACGACCTCCATGATTGCGGATCCAGGCGGACGGATTGCCGAACGTTGTTGCGAGGACGATGTCACGCGATGCCCCAGCAAGAATGACGCCTTGAGGGAGGTAAATCTCGAGGTCTGTCCGGCGGCACGGCAGTGTCACCCGTGGCGTGACTGGTATCTTGGGCACAAGTGACGCCGCCCCGTTTCGCGCAGCGGTGGAAGAGACACTATATTCGAATGCTGCGGTTTTCTGGGAACCTCCATCAGGACCTCCGTACCTTATGCAGGAGGCCAACGAAAGGTGGTCAGCGGCAGTGTCTGATTGGCGGACAGTGGTAACGTGCCGCAGGAATTGGATCGCGCAGTTGGCGGTACTCCAGGGCGACAAGCCAACTACCCTCTATTGGCGGATGTGTTGGGATGGTGCTCGGCGATCTTGTGTTTGGTGTTTGGTGTTTGGTATATGATCGGTGATGCAGCCGAGCTCAACGAAGCTGCAAAGTCGTGAACGCGCACAAGCTCGTCACGTCAGGTGCTGCTGGGCGGCATATGATTGAGGAAAGCGCGACGCAACTTTGCCCTTGCCTCGGGTCTGTTTGTTCGTGCTTCAGAGCCACACTGCCGACCACTATACGTATTGGATTCAGTTCATCGCCATATCTGCGTTCATTCAAGTTCAACATCGTCTTCCTACCATATGATAATCTGTCTGAAGAAAAATGCAGCAGAATGACACTGTGCTGACAGGAGCTGCTGTCCTTGCGTCAGTATACCATGGAGACATTCGATGAGAGACGAATGAGAATACAGAACTTCATCAACTGTTCAAAAACCGCCACACAAGCTGGCCCTGCTGTAGTTGGCAGACACAAGCATGCGCCCGCCCGTCGGCCGAGCCGCAGCCGAAGGGCCGCTCCACCCTCTCGGCAAAAGTGGAGCCCATGTGCCGCCTTCCTCTGTGCTGACTCAAGGCCTCGTCTCCGTATCTCACGGTGCGGCCCCCGAAGGCAGGCCGGTGCACCGCCAGATCTCTCGTTGACGTGGTAGCGTCGTGTCCCATGACCAACCGGGTCCTCTCGACCTCTCCAGTGCCGAACGGGACCGCATGGAAGCCCAACCCGTGGCGTCCACTACGACGTCACACCGTACCCCTTGGCGTCACTTCGTCAATCAGCACACGGGCCGCGCCGATCCGTTTTGTGTAGAGGTGCAGCTGCTGTGACCCCGAATCTCATTTGTCCCCTCGTTCCTTGGCCGCGGCACTGCCTCGTTGGGATCGCCGGGACGCGTCACGTCGTACTGTCCCGACTTTCTCGTAGCACAGCACTTGGTAGGTCAAACATCGACAGAGGAAAAGGGAGTGTCAGGATGCTTCTTGTCATTTCTGTGGTATTTGATTCCAACTGGCTACTCGCGCCCCCCTTACCACGCTCTCTAAAAACCCCCCGTCTCAAAAAGAAAATCATCAAAGCTTAACCGACGAAGCCGCGAAATGAGCTGTGGCCCTGGAAAGAACGCTTGTCCCATGCCCTGACTATCCATGTGTCCCTGAACTCCTTGATTGGCAAAACTCCCCGCCTGCTGATGCTCGTTGTTACGCCTCCGATCCCCGTGAACCGTTGTGGCCGAGACTCCACGCCACACCCTCACGACCAGCGTGGGCGTTGATGATGATGGCCAGCAGCGAGCCCGAGATGAGCCTGCTACAGGAGAGTCAAAACCACCGGCATAATCCAAAGAACCATGCCGCCAGTTGATGGCGCGCCAGTCGCCGTTGCAGAGCCGACGCCGACGGTGGC